ACCAAATAGTTATGAGCATGTTTTCTGTATCAAGCATGCCTTCAACAACAGCAGTTCTGTCGACGTACACCACTTTTGCTGCATCAGCAATGCTGGTTAGGTCGGTGTTAAATGAAGTCCAGAACATGACCAACCAGATTATACCTCAACAACTCCGAGAGAAGCTCTTGTCTAAACTCGGAGGGCTAATGGGGAACCTTTCGTCTCAAATGACTCTCATCATTGATGAATATGATGGGCTCTCCCTCAATCAAGTCTTCGAGGCTTCACAAATCTACTTGCGCACAAGGATTAGTCCTTCAGTTCAGCGGCTCAAGGTATCCAAGGCACCACAAGAGGAAGAACTCTCGGTCACCATCAACAAAGGGGAAAAGATCGTTGATACATATGAAGGAATCCCATTTGTTTGGGAAATGATTTGTACCGAGTCTCAAAGGACAAGCTTCAACTATGAAAGCAGCTTTTCTACTGAAAAGGTTGAGCATCGATCATTCGAACTCAGTTTCGATAAGAAGCACAAAGTGAAGGTATTGCGCTCTTACTTGCCATATGTACTAGAGAGGTCAAAAGCCATAAGAGAAGAAACCAAGGTAGTGAAACTCTGCTCCCTTGGAAACTACTGTGGGGCAGGATCAGTTAATCTTGACCATCCATCCACATTTGACACATTGGCAATGGATCCAACACTGAAGAAGGAATTAATTGATGACTTGGACAGATTTGTGAGCAGAAGAAAGTTCTACAGGAGAGTTGGGAAGGCATGGAAACGCGGGTATTTGTTGTACGGACCCCCTGGCACAGGTAAGTCGAGTCTGGTTGCTGCCATGGCGAACTATCTGAAATTCGACATTTATGACTTGGAGCTCACAAGTCTTCAAAGCAATGCACAGCTTAAAAGCCTATTGCACTATACTACGAATAGATCGATCCTTGTGATTGAGGATATTGATTGCAGTGTTGACTTGCAGAACCGACAAGATGGAGGTTACAACCAAAGTGAAAGTCAGGTATGACAATAGCTTGAGTCACCATTAGACTAAGAAGTAGTTTTTCTTTTTTCTTTTTCAAATCTTTTCCAGAAAATAATTCTACAATATTATTCTTAAGGAGACTCAAACCCTCCACCTTCCGCTCAGGAATACAACTAGACAACATGCCTCGGTGACCAAGTAGTAATTGATGAAGAAAAACTTTAAAAGGAAACACCTCTGGTCCCTGAACTTGCTATATGCCCCTACTGTTCCAAAGCATAGCCCTGTCTCAAAGACGGCTGGCTTAGTTAATAGCATTTTTTGGGAGACCTTTCCACAAACCTAGCTAGGTCTTCTTGCTGGCTGATTCAATTTCCTAGCTAACCCTTTTTTTTTTTTTCCCGGAAGTTCAAGCAAACGCACACAAACTCACAATATTGCCTCTAGAGGGACTCGAACTCTCAACCTCCCCTTCCAAGCTACTAGCTATGTGGTAATCTCCTAGCTAACTTTCTCACCTATTAATTGTCGTTTTTTTCCTCGCTGACAGTTGACACTATCCGGGCTGCTTAATTTTATTGATGGGCTATGGTCAAGCTGTGGCGACGAGAGGATTATTGTGTTTACTACCAATCACAAAGACAGGCTTGACCCTGCATTGCTTAGACCAGGTCGCATGGACATGCACATCAACATGTCCTACTGCACTTTTTGTGGGTTCAAGATTCTTGCTTCTAACTACCTTGGTATAACCAACCACTACATGTTTTCTGAAATTGAAAAGCTCGTGACTGAGGTGGAGGTCACCCCGGCACAGGTTGCAGAAGAACTCATGAAAAATGATGAAGCAGACATTGCACTAGGAGGATTAACAGAATTCCTTAAAAGGAAAAGGACAGAATGCGATCAACCAAATGCGGGAGAAAAAGGAACCCATGAAGAAGGAAAAGGAAGTGAAGAAAACAAGAAAAGTGGTGAGAAGAAAGTGAGGAACAACAAGAGAAAGGCTAAAAGAGGAAAAAGGAAATCCCCAAGGTTCTAGGGCTTTGATCATTGCATCCAATAATTCGACACTTCAATAAGTAATAAAAATACTTCCACCATGTCTATTGAACAATTTGTAATAGGAGACTCAGCATCTCTGATTGCCTATATATGGTTGATAGGATAATTAATAAAGGAATAATGATTTTCTCGAAATAAAAATTGAAGGTTGAGAGTTGAAGTCCCTATGAGAGTAAGTTTCAAATTCAACAACCACCACCAAGCCTTTTTCCCAATTACTTAGGTTGGCTACATGAATCATATGTTTTAATTCCGCTCTAAGGGCATAGCCTCAGTCAAATAACATGCTATCATATCCCCTTTCTAAGCGACTCTACCCGAGTTAATTTCGCTTTTCCACTAATATTACCCTCCATGTGGATTATGTCAATCTTCAAATAGGGGTTCGAGTATGATGAACTCAAATGATCATTTAATTTCATTAGTACTGTTTGACATTCAAAAATAGATTGATTGTCCAAATTATAAAGAACAACTAATATGGCTCTCAAGAAGATTAGAAATACAACAAATCAACCAATTCAATCAACAAGCTTAAGCTTAATTGACCATTTAACGTACTCAGCAATATCCTACACTAGTAAAGATGAACATCAATTTGACAGCTTGAAGAGCTCTCACAACAAGTCCTCTTCATCTTCCACTCTCTCAAACCCAAACCCACAAGATTGATTGCCCACAATTTTCAAATGGGTCATCTCATAATCTCTTCATTTATTTTATTTTTTTTTTCCAATCTGAACATGAAAAGGGCATATACTCAAATTGATCTATCATCCTCAAACAACCAGTTATATACATCCATGAGAATCCGATCATCATCCTCGACGACGAGCGACCCTCCTCGCTTCTCCGAGTGGATGAGATCGGCGATCAGTAGAGTAAATCACATGAATTTGTTGAGTGCTACATGAGAACAATTACTTGTATATGAATGTATATATGAACCCATCAGAAAGTTAGAGGCGTACCATTATATTGCACCAGCCGAGAGCCTGAGACTAATCGATTATTCACTCGTTGCTCCATTAGCAATTCTCTCTCTTCATCGACCTCATCGGTTTTGCAGTCGGATGTGTGGCTTGTAATTGACATAGGGCATAATTCATGCCAGTCAAAGTTTTGTTCTGTTATGTCATTCTAGACTTACATGTAGACAACCGAACTGGAGTAAATCGGAGGGTGTAAAAAGGGTAAAATTAAGTTACATAAACTGAAAATGGAATCGTGAAAACAGGAATGCTTTCCTAGTGTGAAGGCGACACCGGCTAAGAAAAATTATGTAACTTAAATTCGAAATGTCCGTAAATTTTAATTTTAAATAATATAAATACAAAAATAACAAGGATGATTCCTACGGTTCATGCCCTCAAATGCAACAATGGTGGTGAAAATCCAAAACATCTAGGTTTTGTTCACCGCGACCTTACCACTAACGAAGTAATCTTCTTTACCAAACCTGCAAAGAAATCAGAATAGAGAGGGAAAAATATTTGATAATAGAAAGTAATTATTTAGTATTATTGCAATGTGCTCCAATGCATTGAATACATTGTGAGAAATTCTCTGATTCCATCCATCACAATGGGATGTTAAAAACCAACTGTAATTTTTATCACAATAGCAATTGAGCTAGTAAAATTGCAATATTTCACACAACTCTTACATGAAAAAGTGAATAAAATAAAAAAAATCTTTTTCAAATTATATTGAAAAGAAAAAAAAAAATGTACTACAATGATTACAATCAAGTCTTAAATTCGAGACCTCTTGTAAAAATATATTATTTTTTATTAGCCTTTACAGATTATTTCCTATTTAAAAAAGAGATGTTGGGCTTGAAAGGAGATTCCAAAATTGTTTGGACTTTTTACCGGGTCTTGTTCTAGTTCACCCAAATTCATTCTTTCAAGTCCCTCCCACCTAGAGAGAGTGAGATAATGGAAGCCCATTCAACTTTGGAATGGCAAAAGGTACCCCATCAATAAAATAAATTTGTTGATCGATAATAATTATCGACTGATATGATAATTATTGATAAAAATTAAAATACGGTAGTTATTCAAGTTAATATGACAATGAATATGATACTTATACTCTCTCTCTATATATAACTTATATTTATATAGGTATATATTTTGCAATTTTGTATGTAAAGGTTGCAATATACAGCAAAAGTCTCGCCCAAAGAGAAAGGGGTGGTGGCGGTTCGCCGGAGAAGAAAGCTTCGCCAGTGGTGGTGGTGATTGATGAATGATTTTGTGAGTCATCGTAATTTTTATACGCCCATTTTTTTTAATATAATCATTTTTATAATATAAATTAATAAAATTCTAAAAATTAATTTTTTTTACCTAAGATCTTTCTATTTCCTTTATTTTTCTATAAAATTTTACCATACTAAACATAAATAATAATAATAATAATAATAATAATAAAATCATAATTCTCAATTTCCTTTTATATTTTTTCCTTCCATTTATTGCAGGGCCACTTGTGATTTGTTTCTCTCTCTATAAATACGAAAAACCCTAGACACCACAACACCTACCATTCCTACATAAAAGAGACCATATCCCGTCTCTTTCTTCAATTCCAGAGATCCATTTATTAGGTGAAATACACTTTTATATATATATATATATATATATATATATGCACACATACATCTTTCCAGCACACTTTATTTTTTTTCTCTTGTTCTTCCGTACACTAAAGAGAACACATCACACGCACACTTTTTTTTGTACTACTTAAAAAAAACTTATACTACATATGAATTTTGATACTTATACTACATATGAATTTTGATGGTGATTCAGATTGTTCAATTTCATTGGTGTTTGATATATGCAAAATTAAGTTGTTCAATGCTGTGACATATTATATGCAAAATCGAAGCTTGCTATATAATTTTTTGAGCCCTGTTGTCATTTGACAGGTCGTTCTGAAGCTCTATCAAATATGCCTTCACCAGCATTACTACTGTGGACATGCTTGATTTTTGGTACAACAGTAATACCGGTTAAGAAACTGTTCGGCATGATAAACCAGACTATAGAGAAGATCTTGGCTAAACTTGGAGGGCTGATGTGGAATTTTTCATCTCAAATGACTCTGGTCATTGATGAATATGATGAAGTCTCCTCCGTCAATGAAGTCTTTGAGGCTTCACAAATCTACTTGCACGCAAGAACTACTTTTTGTTCTTCAGTTCAGGAGCTCAAGGTATGCAGGACAGCAAAGGAGGAGGTGCTCTCAGTCAGAATCAACAAAGTGGAAAAGATAATTGATACATATGAAGGAATCCAACTTGTATGGCAAGTTACTAAAAAGGGTAAGCATCAATCAATCAAACTCTGTTTCTATGAGAAGTACAAAGAGAAGGTATTGAGCTCTTACTTGCCATATGTACTAGAGAGGTCAAAAGCCATTAAAAAAGAAACCAAAGTAGTAAAGCTCTACTTCCTTGGGGTGGATGGATCACTCCAACCACTCAATTTTGGCCATCCATCCACATTTGACACATTGGCCATGGATCCACCATTGAAGAAGGAATTAATAGATGACTTGGACAGTTTAGTCGGGAAATCATGGAAGCGTGGGTATTTGGTGTACGGCCCCTCTGGTACAGGTAAGTCGAGCTTGGTTGCTGCCATGGCAAACTATCTGAAATTTGACATTTATGCCTTCGAGCTCACAAGTCGGTTGATGAGCAATTCAGAGCTTACAAGTCTATTGCTCTCTACCACGAAAAGATCCATCATTGTGATTGAGGATATTGATTGCAGTGAGTTGCAGGACCGACCAGACCAAAGTGACAGCCAGAAGACGTTGGGGCTGCTTAATTTTATTGATGGGGTATGGTCAAGTTGTGGTGAGGAGAGGATAGTTGTGATTACTACCAAGGACAAGCTTCACCACCCCACGTTGCTGACAAGAGAGAGCATGTACATGCATATCCATATGTCCTACTGCAATTTTTGTGGGTTCAAATTTCTTGCTTCCAACTATCTAGACATAACCAACCACTATATGTTTCCGGAAATCGAAAACCTACTCGTGGAGGTGGAGGTCACCCAAGCAGAGGTTGCACAAGAACTCATGAAAAGTGATGCAGCAGACATTGCACTGCGAGGACTAACTCAATTTCTTAAAAGGAAAAGGATAGAATGTGGTCCCCCATGAAGAAGGAAGAGAGAGTAGTTTCTAGGATACTCTTGTTGTCATAGTTGCTATTGCATGCCTAAGCCAAAGTGATCACAATTTTTTTTTTGAATAATTTGCTTTATATATATATATATATTAATCCTGGCAAACTGGGGGAGGGGAACTTGATCCCACAAACTGTTCAATCTGAGACCAAAGTTTATGAATTATGGTTATATTACCAAAAATATAACAAAAACATGCCTGTTTTTCATATCATGAGCTTGTCCCTTAATTCTGTACTTTGCAGCCTGCCATTTTCCTATGCATGTTTTTAATTAGGGTTAATTTTACTTACACCATTTTCTTTCAGGTTTGGTCAAATATCACTCTCAAATATATTTCAAAAATAACTATTACTCAAGTCACAAATTTTTGTTCCGTTTTTAACTAACACCTCCAACCATTAGTTGAACAGTTCTGACACAACGTAAAATGACTTAATCACCCTTTGAATTTGTCAAACCAACTCTTTAGAAAGAATCAGATTTAAAAGACTAAAATACCCCTAGAAAGTTGTATATTTACCAATTATATATATATATATACATAGAGATTTATGAATGGTTTCATCAAGAACCCATATTTGATTGGGTCTAATCGTGTGGTCAGCAAGCCAAAAGGACTCTCCAACTTTCTTCTCGTTCTCTCATATCAATTCCTCCTCCTGTTCTTCAATTCTTTGAATCTTCTTCTTTTTCTTTCTCTCTTTGATTTGGCATCACAAACAAGTCTAAACAACACAGTTCCCTACATGAACTCTCGCACACTCTAAACAACAGAAATCCACTAAAAAAATCTTACTGTAAACATAAATATATAAAACAAGATTGAAGGTATGAAAATAGAAAATTAGTGCTTATATGCGAAATCAAAGATAAAAAATCAGAATCGAACAGAGGAAAAATTCATGAACCAAAAGATATATGAATGGATCATTAAAGGAATTTTAATGCTCCGTTTTCTCCTTCGATTTTGTTATGAGTCCTGTAATCCATGGCCGGTGTGGTGTAATATTCATTTGGTTCAGTAATCCATGGAAATGGCGATACTTAGATTTGGCTGATGTATTTGTTTGTTAGTTTTGATGGATTAAAGATAAACACCGACAAATCTACAACACCAGCCGCCGCTTCAAGCACCACCGACCCGGCTGACACCGAACCAGTGATAAGATCCATCACTCTATGTGGTGAAGGAGGAGGAGAGAGTAATGGGTCTGGACTCTGGTGTGGTGAAGGAGTTGGAGAGAGTCGCCGGAGCCTTTGCATAAAAAAATGGGTCTCATTGATTCGGTCGACACCGAACCAGTAGCCCGACCCGTTGCAGAAAATCATAAATCAAATAAAGGAAACAGAGGTTTTTGTATCTACGGTAGATGATGGTGAGATGAAGAGAGGATGAAATGTGTGGGACTGGCCGGAGAGAGGTGGGCCACGGTCGGGGCTGGACGAAGCGTTGACGTAAGGTGTATGTAGGGGTATAATTGTCATTTCAGTAACCTGATATTTTGGAATAAATGAGATTTAAAAATTAGGGGCAAAATTGTCTTTTCAATTGTTTTTAACGGAGGCTTTAACGGAAAATAAAAAATAGACCTAAGTGATAGTTGTTTTTGAAAGATGTTTGAGGGTGAAAAATGGCCAAACCTGAAAGATGGTGAGTGAAATTATCCCTTTTAATTAATATGGAGGATAAGAAATCTGTAGAAATGTTAATTGAAGTGTGACATATATGGAGTATAAGAAAACTTAGAATATACATGCTGACATATGCAAAATTAACTTATCAATTTCATTATTCAACTCTTTTCTTAGGTGTGACATATGCTAATTGCTGAGTAATGTGCTTTTAATTATTTAAGAAATCTCAGCTTACAATAGAATCTTAGAGACGGAGTCACCCTGTTGTCAATTTTAAAATAAAATTTAAAATAAAATAAAATAAAAAACAGATTAAAGCTTGTTGAAAAGTATTACAGTGTATGAGAATTCCTTGAGAAGGTAGTTCTTCAACATGCTTGTCCTTGTCATGCTCTGCTTCCAAAGCACGTTGCTTTATGGAAACATGGTTGAATTCTACAATTTCTTCCTGTGTGGTGTGGACTGTGGACTTTAGTTGCCACTAATTTTCAAAGAGCTTCCAATGGAAGCTCCTTTTAGCCGATGTTCTATAAAAGCCATTTACCTAAAACTGCTACAAACCAAGCAAGCAAAAGCAATAACAAACCACCTTTTTCTTTTTTAGTCTTTTGATTCCTAAGTTCCAAGCATGTTTTCAGTATCAAGCATGCCTTCAACAACATCAGTTCTGTCAACGTACACCACTTTTGCTGCATCAGCAATGCTGGTTAGGTCGGTGTTCAATGAAGTCCAGAACATGACCAACCAGCTTATACCTCAACAACTCCGAGAGAAGCTCTTATCTAAACTCGGAGGGCTAATGGGGAGCCTTTCGTTTCAAATGACTCTCATCATTGATGAATATGATGGACTCTCCCTCAATCAAGTCTTCGAGGCTTCACAAATCTACTTGCGCACAAGAATTACTCCATCAGTTCAGCGGCTCAAGGTGTCCAAGGCATCGAGAGGAAGAACTCTCAGTCACAATCAACAAAGGGGAAAAGATCGTTGATACGTATAAAGTAATCCAATTTGTATGGGAAATCATTTGTACCGAGACTCAAAAGACGAGCTTTGACGACGAAAGCAGCTTTTCTACTGAAAAGGTTGAGCATCGATCCGTTGAACTCAGTTTCAATAAAAAGTACAATACGAAGGTATTGAGCTCTTACTTGCCATATGTATTAGAGAGGTCAAAGGCCATAAAAGAAGAAACCAAGGTAGTAAAACTCTGCTCCCTTGGAGACTACTGTGGGGTGGGATCAGTCAATCTTGACCATCTATCCACATTTGACACATTGGCAATGGACCCAACACTGAAGAAGGAATTAATAGACGACTTGGACAGATTCGTGAGCAGAAGAAAGTTCTACAGGAGAGTTGGGAAGGCATGGAAACGTGGGTATTTGTTGTACGGTCCCCCCTTGTACAGGTAAGTCAAGTCTGGTTGCTGCCATGGCGAACTATCTGAAATTCGACATTTATGACTTGGAGCTCACGAGTCTTCAAAGCAATGCGTAGCTTAAACGCCTATTGCACTCTACCACGAATAGATCGATCCTTGTGATTGAGGATATTGATTGCAGTGTTAACTTGGAGAACCGACAAGATGGAGGTTACAACCAAAGTGAAAGTCAGGTAAGACAATAGATTGAGTCACCATTAGTCTAAGTAGTAATTTTCTTTTCTTCCTGACAATAACTCCGAACTCTTTACCTTTCGATACGAAAGTAGAGGAAATATCACTAGACCACGTGCCTTGTGACCAAGTAGAAAATAGATTGATACTAATTTCTTTTAAGCCCCTAATGTTCAAAACCATAGTTCTATCCTAAAAACTGGCTGGCTTAGTTAATAGCATTTGTGGGAGCCTTCCCACAAACCTAGATAGGTTTTTTTTCTCCTTCTTGCTGTCTCATTCAACCTCGTAACTTCCTCACTTCTTGATTGTTATTTTTGTATAGTTGACGTTGTCCGGGCTGCTTAATTTTATTGATGGGCTATGGTCAAGCTGTGGCGACGAGAGGATAATTGTGTTTACTACCAATCACAAGGACAGGCTTGACCCCGCATTACTGAGACCAGGTCGCATGGACATGCACATTCACATGTCCTACTGCACTTTTGGGGGGTTCAAGATTCTTGCTTCCAACTACCTTGGTATAACCAACCACTACACGTTTTCTGAAATTGAAAAGCTTATGACAGAGGTGGAGGTCACCCCAGCGCAGATTGCAGAAGAACTCATGAAAAGTGATGAAGCAGACGTTGCACTAGGAGGACTAACAAAATTCCTGAAAAGGAAAAGGATAGAATTCGATCAACGAAAGGCTGAAGAAAAAGAAACCCACGAAGAAGGAAAAGAAAGTGAAGAAATCAAGAAAAGTGGTGAGAAGAAAGTGAGGAACAACAAGAGAAAGGCTAGAAAAGGAAAACGCAAATCTCCAAGGTTCTAGAACTTTGTTAGCATTGAATTGTTGCTATTGCAAGCCTAAGCCAAAGTGATCACTCAAATTATTGCATCCAATTAGTTCCACGCATTAAATGAGCAACAAAAACACCTCTACCAATTGCAACTTTATTGAACTACTTGTAATAGAATACTCTGCATATGTGATTTGCCTATATATGGTTGATAGACTACTAAAGGAAAAATGACTTCCCAGAAGAAAATTTGAAGGTCGAGAGTTTGACTCTGCACTTGTTTCAAAAAGGGGTAGCCTAGTGCACAAGACTGTCGCCATTGCGGGGTTTGAGAGGGTCTAATGCACACAGTCCTTACTTTCGGAAGGAAAGACTACTTCTGATTTCAAACCCGTGACCTCCAGTCACAGTGGACTAGCTTTGTCATTGCGCTAAGGCCCACTCTCAAGTATGAACTCCAATAATCATTTAATTTAATTAGTACTACTTGACATCCGAAAACGGGTTTTGTTCATATTAAAAAGAAGAACTAATATGTCTCTTAGGAAGAATAGAAATATAACAAATCAAAAAATTCCAACTACAAGCTTAATTCACCATTTAAAGTACTTATCAATATCCTAAACTTGTAAAGATGGACATCAATTTGACAGCTTGAAGAGCTCTCAAATCCCTCTTCATCTTCTTCTTTCTCGAACCCAAACCCACAAGATTGATTGATCAAAAAGCCATCCCATTCTTTTCATTCAAATGGGTCATCTCATGATCTCTTCAATTTTATTTTTTTCAAAATCCGAACATGAAAAGGGCAATAATCAAATTGATCATCATTCTCAAACAAACCAGTTATATACTCAAATTGTCGAGTGTTACATGAACAATTCCTTCTATATGAATGAGTATATGAAAGTTAGAGGCGTACCATTATATTGCACCAGCTGAGACTAATCGATTAATCACTCGTTGCACCATTAGCAATTCACTCCCTCTCTCTCTCTCAATCGAGCTTTTAGGTTTTGCAGTTGAAATATACGGATGTGTGGTTTATAATTGAAATAGGCCATATTGGTAAATTCAAATCAGTCAAAATGAGTACAGTTTTGTCATTCTAGATCAGAGGATAACATTGTCTTTACACAGCTTAAGGAGCAAAAATAAATTTCCTGCTATATTAGTGAATTTTTTTGGACTGATGATAAATGTCATGCATGTATGTTTTGTTTTTCATAACCAAACCGTTAACGGCCAAACTTGCTAAAAAGATTATAACAGGGAAAAAAAATTGACGAGATTTTTTTTTTTATATTTTTAATAAGATAACAGAAAAAAAATTCTTGACACCGAGGGAAACTTACTTAATGAGTCATCTTTCTGATATTATTTGAGTTTTATATATATATATATTTTTTTTTCATTTGTGAAAGTCAATTCATACTCTCTTTTCTTCTGTTTTTCTTTTTTTTCAACCCTTTTTTTTTTCTTTTTTTTCATTGACAAAAAACTCACACACAACATTTTAATTTTCCTTACCATCCATTTTAAGAGGTAAAAGAGATAAGAGTCACACGAAAAATTGAAGCAGGCGGTGTTTCTCTAAAGCATTTGCATTAATTTTCACATCCATACACTTGGGATTGCTTTAGAACATTGACCTAAAGCCAGAATTATAGTATCCATGCTACATGTAAACCTACCCACAAAAGGAAGGTAAGGAAAACCAAAAATTACAGGGCCTGTACATCTCTTCTTCTCTGTGGAAAACTAAAAAAATACAAGAAGTGAATGCCTGAGGGGAGAAGAGAAAACAATTCAAAAAGGAGATACACCAGAAATTTACAGCAGAGAGATAAGAGGTCTCGACACTAGGAAGATACTGAAAAGCTCTTGGTCTTCCACAAAAAACTCAGAGCCTTGCCCACCTTTCTTCTCGAGACTGACTTACTTAGTGGTTTCGAATCTGAATCAGTCATCCCCAAGTCACTATTTTCAGGATGCTGATGAGTCTGAATCTGTGAAAGTTCTTGTTGTCGCTGCTCACGGAACAGCATCAGAAGTTTCTGAGCCTTCTGTTTCCCTCTTGTAGTCCCATTCACTGAAATCGACACCAATGAAGGTATAACCCCTTCTTGCAGGACCATTTGACTGCATTTCTCGTTCCCGTTACATAAAATCAAAAGACAGGCGGCAGCCTGCTCCTGCTCAACAGGCTCACCAATGTCCAACATTGTTGCAAGTGCACTGACAAGGCCTGGGGCTGCTATGATTTCATCTCTTGCTGATTTACTCAAACCTAAGTTTATAAAGACAGCTACGCATTTCTCTGTCCATGCATGGTCACAAGAGTCCGTGATAAGATACTGGAGGCCATTGATGATGCGAGCTGAGAGGAGGTTGGGAATATTGGAAGGGTGGGTGGAGAGATTATAGAGAGCATGGAGGGCATCAAGCTTGCATTGAGGATCAGCTTCAGCCTGAAGAACCTCGATTAAAAAGGGAACAGCCTCACTTGCGCCAATGTTAGGCTTGGCTTCTTCAAGGCAGGAAAGGTTCAAGTACAGGGCTGTTGCTGATCCATGAGAGTTGGAATTGGCAATCATTTGCTCCAGCAATGGAAGTACTCCAGCAGCCAACATCACTTCCTTGTTTCTGAAAAGCAAGATAAATTAAGAAGTTTATTAAAATCCATTCACTGTTTCTACATGGTTGTAGTAATCAATTTACGAGTTTACGCCATCAATTAAATAAAAATGAAAGAGTAAGGATCATCAGTAGCACGATCACAGCAGCAACCATAAAACTTTTAAAAATGCTCTCACGATCAATAAAACAATTCCAATAAGAAGATCAAACCAAGTTTGCAAGGGTAATGGGAATTGGAAACTTGATTCTATCGTTTTATTGACTATAATATAGACCACAACCTTGTAGCCTAGTGGTATTGTGGTACATGAAAGTAGTTCAGGATAGTTGGTGAGGTTTACGCCCTATCAAGTCACCCCTTTGGAGAAGGAATACTGTAATGTTAAAAAATAATTAGGAACTGTGTACTTTTTCCCAAATAGGCGCTTATGATGAAGAAAAAGAACATCTAACACCTACAATAAAGGCTTATTCAAAGCTAAAGGATCGTATTACCTCCAAACAACAAATGCATAGTTCAAGCCAATTTTTCAAGTCATAAAAATTTTTGATTGGCTTCCGTAGGAACTTATCAAGCCAACGAAACCTTTACGGAAGAACAATTATCCAAACCTAATACAAAAATACAATATGTTCTGCGCACATATCCAACAATTAGCAAGTATACAATATCAGGAAATTATGATGATCGACTTTCTTCTTTTTACACGGAGATTGTGTGATCACAACCGAATTGTGATGATGGCTGCATGCGTTACTAAAATTCCATTTAATTCTAGCATTATTATTTTGTTTCTTTAATGAGCAAGCATTGTGGAGGGTGGGATTGAAGTTAGGGATCGGTTAAAGAACACTTAGCCCAAGAAAAGCAAGATCTACTAGTTTTGCCACTAATATCATAAAATATGGTGGCCAAGAGAGTCTAATATTTTGGAACCCTCATTACAGCTATAAATCATACTATTTGTCCATCTATTACTATGGCTACAGGATACATTGTTTTAAGCCCCTGAAATTATTGAACAAGAAGACAGACCTGTTATTGTTAACAGCAAGGTTGAATAGCGCCATAGCTCCAATTTCCTGAGCCATTTCATTCCTTTCATTCACAGCACACTCTAAAAACTGCAGCAGTGCTTCAACAAACCCATTGGCCCCCATATATATCCTAGCTTCGTCATCATCCTTTAGCAAGTGTCTTATCTGTTCAACCGCTATGCATTTTTTTCTCAAGTCTTCCTCTTTTCCCAAGACAGTCAAAAAGTCCTCATATCTTTCAAACACATGAAGCTCAGACTCTTCCTCCTGTGAAGACACATCTTCCACTTCATTTCCTTCAGCTTCCTCAATAATACCACTCTCCTCCAGAGGAACCACCTTTACTCCCTTCAACTTATAGGAGGCAATGTTGTCTATTGATTTTGAATTTGCTGACTCACTCTCAGTCAGGGCCAGCCTCCAGTAGTTGAGATCAAGAGAATCTGGGGGACCATCTGGAATGGGAATTCCATTCTGTTCACACCAACTAGCAACGAGACCCTTAACACAGTAATTAGGAGTCAAACAAAGATGGGAAAGCTGTTGCTGAGTTTTTGGGCAGGTGTTGTGCCCATCGTTGAACCATTTTTCAATGCAAATCCTTTCATAAGTTTGCCCAGAAGCAATAATGACTGGGTCGTACATGAGCTGCAATGATATCGGACACCTCAACTCTTCAGGGGGAACGGGAATCTGCCCTGACCTTCTGAAGTTTGGCTTGAAATTGAAAGAACCGAGTTTCGAGAGATGTCGCTCAAAGGCTTGACCATCACCCTCAAAAGAGCCCTGAACGGTTGGAGAACAAGGTGTTGAACCCTGTGAATCATTGTCATCTGAGAATTCACTTCTAAATAACTTAGAATATTTTCTCATGAGATGTAAAAGATAAGCCACAATTGATTCCTTCCGCTTATCTTCCTCAATCCTAGCTCTTTCTATGAGTTTCTTCAGAGCCCTTCTTTCTCTAAGGGCTGCTCTAGAAGAGGTAATGCCAAGTCTAGAAGCAGCCTGGTGAAAAGATTCAAGCTCGCTATTGTCATTACAGTTACTGTTGAATCTTCTCCCTTGCTGGAGCAATGCAATTAGTTCATCACCAACTTGCTTCTCCAATGGATCAATTGAGAATTCAATCACCTCAAGCTGACTTAGAATTTCTGAAATCTGAAGTAGGTGTTAGTTACAATTATAATCAAGAAACCTTTTGGGGAAAAAAAAAGACACACACACACAAAATTATAATCAAGAACAATAGAACACTTCCTTTATAAAAAGGCAGTGGCCATAAAGAACTAAATATCAATCCAATGAAGGACAATAATGCGGTCAATTATTCTATACAAATTCAAGAAAATTATTGACAGTTGAAATACAAATAGCTATAAAGAACTAAAAATCAATCCAATGAAGGACAATAATGTGGTCGATTATTCTATACAAATTCAAGAAAACTATTGACAGTTGAATTACAGAAGTACATTCTATTCAGAAAAGAGAAAAATATAATTCAAAAAGAACCACAACTCACTGTGAAAAGGCATACAGGAGCACTTAAAGGATCAATAGGACAACTTTGTAGACAACAACTAATTTAAACTAGCTTACAAGAAGGGACCAAATGTTGCAAACTGAGCTCTTTATTTCCTCTTTTGTTTTTTCTCTTCCCTTTGTTTGATATACCCATTACACTAAGATTAGCTTTGTTTGCGGCCACATGGAAGGAAAAGAAAAACAAAAAGCTGACTCCAACACCTACCATAATATCTGCAGCAACGATCCTACATAATCAACTCCATCCAAGATGGAATAAGATCATTCTGCAATCTATCTCAACAATGTACAACAAAGTTCCTGGTTGGAGTTTTCACTGATCAACACAGGTGAAACTCCCCTAAACCCATTGTCATAGAATTATATGGACAAAGATCATTATATCTTCAGTAACCATCATGCGTGATGAATTATACCCCCAACTGATGAGGTCAATTAACGTTATATCACATCAATGTACAGGAAATTTCTTAGCCGTACTTTCATTCAACAGAAATAATGAAATCACCCTAAAACCAAATATTGAGTATTACTTATAAAGATCAACAACGCCATTTTAATTGCTTTGACCTGGAGATGACAATGAATATTTGGTGGAACTTAGAAATACATCGAGACCAACCAAATTAAGTTGACTAACAACGCCATGGTTCATTCACAAAATCAACAAATACCATTACCACCGAGAAAATCATCCAAGGACACAAACTTATATTTAATACTGCTACTTTTTACAGCATATAAACCAAAAACTTTATCCAACTTTACAGCACTGTAAAGAACCAACCAGGAAGACAAGAAAGAGATAGCTAAAGGAACCTAGATTAATATACCTGACAACCAATAGCTTGTGGAACAATATCTTCGACCCGCCTAAGACTATCTTCAAGAGCAGATCTTGCTTTCTCAAATTTTAGAACAACAGAGTCCCCAGTTATAGCCTGCATGAAAAGGATAATTCTATTAGTGGAACATTCTTTAGGGTGGTGGGATGAAGAGAAACTTTAAAAGGATAATTCTATGTGCTGAAGTGATAGTTAGCAGCCATATGTTAAAAAATTTAACTTCACAATATATAGCTGACAAATTAGTAAAACATACAGACTCTAAGTTCTAAACCAGGAAGGACCAGCATATTTTTTTATGCACATCCCATTATGTGCCCTTATCCATTAATCCACGGCCACAAATAGTATTAGTTCATATATTTAGCCACGTTTGTGCCCGTGCACAAGTGAGCAAAAGTTCAAAGCATATTCTCCATTACAAACCAAACATAAAACAACTACATTTACAGAAGCATTAAAATGACCAGGGGATATCAATTAATTAACATAAATGAAAATAGAGCTACCATGGCATTATTTTGAACAGTGGCGTTGGTAAGAAGAGAAAGAAACATCAACTAATGAATGACTGACCCTCTCAATGGGAAGCCCGTTCTCAGTAGCAGAAGTCAAAATTATTGCATAAAATACGAAAAATTGGGGAGATATCATACCAAGTAAATTTTACTACTTTCGGAGCAATGCTGAAGGATGTTCTTGGTCTTCTCAAGCGCTATATGCAAAGAACATAACGCCTGAATACCTGACGTGCTCCTAGGCCGTGCCTCTTCCAGCACGGGGAAAATTCCCAACACCTTGGAATAAATTGTAGAGAGTGACTTGCACATCCCTCCATGTAACTGCATTAACAACCACTGTGAACTTTAACGAACTTAAGGCATACTGTTGCGAGAATAATTAAAAATGTAATGACCAATAATCAGTCAAGAAACTGGAAAACCAAATATTACGATGCACCACAGCATGATTTCTTATCCTTAAATTCAATTTGAAAGGTTAAATTGAAAATTTGCCAAATACCCTTTTAAAATGTCTCTTGTATGTATGTATGTATTAAAAAAGTGCAAAGCAAAGAAATCTAAAGCACCCTAAGCATATAAAACAACTAAAATAATTGCATATGGCTATAACAAATATCTCAACATTAAAACTATAAAGTCATACCGGAAAGTCTTTTCAAATGGAAGAGAGTAAACAAAACAACAAAGATGCAAACAAACAAATACTAATAATTGCTCAGCTGAACTCTCATAATTCCATGTGTGTATATATATACCTTCGGATCACCAATTGCAAGTAAAGTTTCTTCAACCTCGGCAACATCCATGTTTCAAATTCACCGTGGAAGACTATATTTCAACTTTGAACCACCTGAATGCAAGAACAGAATTTAGCTGAATCACTTTTAGCAATGCACAATGAAGTTGTGAAATTGTGATGTTTAAAGCCACCAAGTTAATTGTCACAATAAACAATTAACAAATATAATAAATACAATTCAAATTATATTTCTGTCAAACGAACCCACAATTTACCAGATGTCATGAAAAAAGGGAAAATCAGAGTCCAGAAACAGAAGATGAAATCAAAAATATCCACAATTTGATTATTAGCATTTGATGGAACGCATTTGATCTATACATCATCATAGACTATTATTATTTAGAAAGAAGATGAAATCAAGAAATGCCACCATACCAAAAGCCACAATTTGATTTTTAGCATTTGATGAACAAATTTGATATCTATATCATCATAGAAAAAAACAATTCATATAACCCATTTTGCCAAACAGCTTCAAAAATAGAACATTTGCTTATATGTATATAAATCAGTACCAGGAATAAATAACTAAAACCAATACATACAAATTGATATGAGCATTCCATGAAATAAGGAAGTTTCAAAAACTCAAAAATAAAATTCGTAATTCCCAATAACCAAAATGCCATCTTCAGCTGAAGATCTCCGATGAGACGAAACAGTTATACGAAAATCAAATTCCCAACAAATTAACAAGAAACCAAAAATTATTAAAACAAATAAACACATTTTCCCAGTTATAAAAAACCGGATTTCGCAAGCAATTCGAACACAATCGCAAAAACAAACTAAACCTAAAACCCGTATATATTTGAAAACGGAATTATAACTAAATTTATATAGATTTCTAACAGAAAACCTACCAGAAATAACTGAATCATCCAATATCGCATCACAGAAACGACCATTAACACAAATTAACTGTGCTATACACTGCATTACGTTTTTCATTATATTTAGCACATCTCAACACACGCAGGAGTTGCGCTTGGATCGGCTGTTCTTGAGATAGATTTTTAGAGAGAGAAAGTGTCTATAGAGAGAGAGAGGGAGGCAAGAGGAGGGCTTTTGGTTAAGAGAAGGGTAAGGAATATAAGAAATAATATTCAAGTGAGACAAAAATAAAATAACTGAGGGTGTGTGTCGAATTTTAAAATAAGGTTTTATTAGGATTTACGGAAAATTGGGAGTCCTGATTGGTATTTTCGCCGCTAATGTCTCCTTGTTCGTCGGCCGACAGTTGCCGACCTCCGAATTTTGTCTGTTTGCAGATCTGTCATCAATGCATGTGAAATGACAATTATACCCTTTAGGGGCCAATTCATTTGGTCAACGAAAAACATAGAAGAGCCAACCCTATGACTAATCGTCAATTGGATGATGATGAAAACAAGTCAATTAGATTGTATTGACCATGTGCTACGTTTGGCCAAGTGAGTTGAATTTTGGGATGTTTTGGATTGTATTATTTTCTATTTTGTGTAATTAAATTAGGATTCTGAGATTTTATTAATTATCTTATTTTTTTATTTTATGTAATTAAATCTTTTCTTATATCTGTAACAATAAAAATAGTATATTCTATTTGTATTTTAATAATTTGAATAAAGTTCTCGTAGCTTTTGATTATTATTTATCTTCAAAATATTTTGGATACAAAGAATTTATTTGTTACTAACGTCCGATTTGGCATGCGTTTTGTTTATGGGATTTTTATTTTTTGGCTATTACATTGTCGATTTTGACAATAAAGGCATGTTTAGTGTTGCCTTATTTTATTTTCACTTTATTTGACCGTTCTATTTGAGTCTTGAGCCGTCACCCGTTGTACAGACAGACGGGCACTAAAAAGTTATTTTTTCTTGTTTTGAAAATTGTTTATGGTCCAAAACCATAATAGTAGACAAATTGTTCATGGCCCAAAACCGACATTTTCACCGCAAAAATGCTTCCAACACTCCTACAGTAAAAATAATATTTCTATTTTAACTAAAAACAAAACGCATGTCAAAGAGACCCTAATATAATCAAATATCTTGTTTCACTCTGATGGTATCATAAATCTTGTGAATGCAGAGGAAATGAATGCATTTTCACTTGGCCAAAAAATATATTGTCATTTAAATTTCCTTATTTAATAGAATAGTTATACATCAACCATCACATGACAATCTTTTCTAACAATAAGGAATCTTTATTAAAAGCTTTTTTATTTTAATATAATAATAGGATAAATTATAGCACATTGGATAAGTGATTCAATCAAAGTTAAAAAAAAAAAAAAAAACAAATCAAATCCAAATTCAAAGGCACAAGTAAAATAGTCCGAAATTGGGTTTGAATTTACTTCTTTCTTTTTTTTCAAACCCAATTAGGCCACATACAAGTCAAACTCAAGTCTTTGTTTACAGGTTTGTTAGGAGGTTTAGAAGTCCAAGTTTGGAAGAAGTGTTTAGTGGGGTGTTTTGGTAAATGCAAAAGCGAAAGAGATTTTTTCAGCGGCGGATGTCCCCATAAAGGAGTACGGAAACGGCAATACCTATTTTGTCCGATTAAATTAAATTGAGTTCACATCTGTCCACGTGGTCATGTTTTTCACCACTGATTTTCATTTTCTCATGATTTTTTTTATATAAATTGAAACCTGCCCTCGATGATGATTTTTTTATATAAATTGATAGATCCGTAATTTTTGGAAAAAGCTGTAGCTTTCTCCTCTCTATCCAATCCCGTGGAAATTGCCTTCGATGATGATGTGGAATACTTACAAGTACCACCCTCCACACCAATCGCGTGAGGTTCACGTATTATGTTACAAAAATTTTTGTGTCCCAACAATAGTTCACCGTATGACTAGGTACGTATCCATGCATTGAACAATATCTAACTTTTCGATACGTAATTTATATCGGTCAATTTTACTTTATTTAAATTCGTTCCAAAACGATAACGACTGCATCCGATATTACGAACCATGAACCCGACTATTATTACATTATTTATACAACAAGTAATTATTTTACATTATTAATGCAATGACATTTAACACTTCATGCGATAGGATTTTGATTATTATTATTATTTTTATTATTTTTTATTTTTTATTTTTTTTGGCCAGGAGGCTCTTCCACCAATTGGGTGAGGTTCACATATTATTTTATAAAATGGGATCGTTTCGTGTATCACATGTCATTACATTATTTATACAACAATTTACATTGTTTATGCAATATTTTTACATTACTAATGCAACAACATTTAACAATCTACCAACACACAGCACATTATTCCCTTCACATGACCGGATTTCGATTCATTATCAATCTTATGTTAGAGAATATTATTATTATTATTATTATTATTTTTACTTAGTAAGGGAGAGGAGGATAATAGGGTGAGTCAAACTTAAATTCCTACAGAATTTAAGAGAGTACCTCTTTTAACTAGGCTATTCAGCTCGTCCAAGAAAATTTAAATCTCTTTATATATTTCTTTCTCTAAAAAGTTTGAACGCATCATTTAACGGCTATAAACATATAATGTTCTTACTTTTGTTTAAATTTAATTGTGTATATAATTAATAGAATGACATGACATGTTGACTACATGATGCTTTTACTTAATTATTTTCAATCACAAACAGTATTTAACTTAAAAAAAACCGTTAATCGTGATGCCAACTTCATTTAACTGATTAGTCACCACAGTTGGTACATTTATAATCCTAAACAAGTAAAAATAAATAATGAGAGAGCTGTCCTTATGATTCGCGGGAAACTATTAAATGATAATGGACCACCTAGTCATCATGTTGACATGAAACAAAATTGAATATGGTTGAGGGTGATGTAATTTGAATTTTATTAGAATAATATATATTCACACTATGTACTAACGTTTTGGCATGTCTCAAATTTGGGTGATTCAAAATCTAAATATTTGATTTGGCTTGTTGTCTATATCCAAAACATGTAAAATTCCAGCCAGAATTGAGATTAGTGTCTAATTGTCTACTATTTAATTATTATTTCGTTGGCTTGGCCGGTGGACTCCACAGCTGCACATTCCGATGGTTACCAAACTCATCTCAAGGAGGTTAGTGCACAATGTCCATAAAGGCCATTTAAATTATTATTTTTATATCAATCCACATCATGATTTTGGTAATGAGAAAGGTAATAGAGCACTTTTTTTTTTTTTCCTTTCACTTTATTGTGACTCAAAAAAATAAAAATAGTAATAATAAAAGAGAAATTCAATATTTAAATGGGGCGTCTCACATACCTCCTGGAAATCAGTGATGGACACATAAATTTTGTTAAGAGGGAGTTTTTTTGAAATTTTTAATAATTTTAGGTGGGCATTTTCAAAATTTTACAAAATTTATAGTTTTATTTACAAATAAAAAAAGACCACATAGGTATGTGCCTGGCCGGGATACCAACTGTAATAGGCAGTAATAGGCAGTAGGTCTGCAACTTAGGCGGATTGAAGAATCAATTAGGGGCTCAGCCCAATGTATAAAACCTTCAACCCGAGCCCAACCAAAAACCAACTTGATGAGCCCAAGCGTAGCTCATGCTCAATTTTTTAATCTCGGGCTTAATTCGGGTTTCTCAATTCGGGCGACGTTTTTCTGTTTTTTTAGGCATTCAAGTCAGATTGATAATAAATGAAAACTTTTACTGTTTTGCATCCAATATTTTATGTCGCATTAACAAAATTATAAAATTTTGTTTTTGAAAGGTACAAAATCATTCCCACAGGCTCATGGAGACTTACCCAATCGTTAACTTCAGGGTCTCGTGAAATTAGCCGAGGTGCGCGCAAGCTGGCCCGGACACTCACGATTACCAAAAAAAAAAAAAAAAGGTACAAAATCATAGAAATTAAACATTACAAACCAATAATAACAATAACATTAAAATTATAAGGAATGTCACAATATCAACATTTATTGGGAGGGTTGATCGGGTTTTGTATTTCAGTCTGGGATCAATTTGGGCTTCGGACTACATATCATCAAATCAACCCAAGCCCGAACCAAATTGAATTCAGGCTCAACAAATCTAGCCCGGACCGAAAGTAAAAAAACATTGTCCAAGCCGAGTAAAGTTCGGGTTGGGCCCACCCGAGTTACAGCCCTAATAGGCAGGTGTTTCTCAATCTAATCCCAAAATTTAAACTATTAGATTGTGCTAACATTTAACCCATTTATACCCAATCAATCCAATGTGGGACAAGATCGCTTGTAACATATCTCTTTTTATCTCTTAAAGTAAAATGTGATAGATTCAAGTAGTAATAAATGAGTGTGTCAGTTCTTTGCCAAGAAAAAATAAAAATAAAAATATATAAGACTCACATTAATTTTATTTTTTTTTAATATGTATGTAGTTAATTGAATTCAAAAAATATATAATTTATTTTACCATATATATGTGTGTGTGTGTGTTCAAATAAAATTCATCCAGCCATTGTGATTCTTTATCCGTTCTGATATATTTTTATATATATATATATATATATACACACTCATGACATCTAATGAAGATGTATATATATATATATATACATCTTCATTAGATGTCATGAGTGTGATTAGCAATGGTCAATTCGATTTTATTTTTATCTATTATTATTGATACTTTACTTTCTCTTTTTATGTTGCTCCTAGGATGATTAGATTATCACTTTGTTGATCTAAAAAGGAAAAAGAGAGGCCAGCAATATCATGTGAATGTCATGTTATGTATAGTTACCATTCCATTCTTTGGCATCATCTTTTATAATTGTACCCACGAGAGAGAAGAGAAGAAAATGGAAGTCATAGCAGACACCTATGATCACAACTATGCAATTTTGGTACACAATCATTAAGTGAGGACCCCACGTAAATTCATTTTTTTTTTGTCGACCACAATTGCTGTTTTTTTAGATGAATGGTAATTGATTTTTCAGTTACAACTTACAATGATAATCATCACACATGCTTATGGTACACATTTTCAATATCATCCACCCCACTAAGGCCCTGTTTGTTTCCATGGGAATGTGAGGAAAGAAATGGAATGATTTGGACTTTGGAGGAAA